AACTTCCCTGAGGTGGGGAAGAAAAAAGTCACACAAGCACAGAGAGTCCCAAACAAGGTGAACCCAAAAAGACCCACACCAAGACACATCATAATCACCATGGTAAATGTTCAGAACAAAGAGAGAATCTTATAGGCTGCAAGAGAGAGATGGAAAGTTACATACAAGGGATCTCCCATTAGATTATCAAATGATTTCTCAACAGAAACACATCAGGCCAGAAAAGAATGGACGGAAATTTACAAAGTGATGCAAAGCAAAGGACTGAATCCAAGAATACTCTATCCAGCAAGGCTATCATTCAAAATCGAAGGGAAAATAAGAAGCTTCACAGACAAAAAAAAGGCTAAGGGAGTTTATCACCACCAAGCCAGCAATGCAAGAAATGCTAAAGGGACTGGTGTAAAAAGAAGAAATAAAAAGCTCAGAAAGAAAACAGGCACAAAAATAGAAATGGCTACAAACAAGTACCTTTCAATAATAACTTTAAATGTAAATGGACTAAATGCTCCAATCAAAAGACATCGAGTGGCTAAATGGATAAAAAAACATGACCCATATATTTGCTCTCTACAAGAGACCCACCTCAGAAGAATGGACTCAGACAGACTGAAAGTGAAGGGATGGAAAAATATCTTTCAGGCAAATGGAAATGAAAAAAAAGCTGGGGTAGCAATACTTATATTGGACAAAATAGACCTCGAAGTGAAGGCCATACCAAGAGATAAGGAAGGCCACTTCACAATACTAAAGGGATCAATACAACAAGAGGATATAACCCTGATAAACATATATGCACCCAATGCAGGAGCACCCAAATACATAAAAAAACTCCTGGAAGATATCAAGGGAGAGATCAACAACAATACAATCATAGTAGAGGACTTTAATACACCACTGACATCACTGGATAAATCCTATGACAAAAAAATTGGCAAAGAAACAGCAATCCTAAATGACTCACTAGATCAGATGGACTTAATTGACATCTTCAGAACATTTCACCCCAAAGCCACGGAATATACGTTCTTCTCAAGTGCACATGGGACATTTTCAAAAATAGACCACATATTGGGTCACAAGCAAAGTCTCCCCAAATTGAAGAAGACTGAAATCATACCAAGCATCTTCTCAGACCACAATGGCATTATATTAGAAATAAACTACAATAAAAACAACCCAAAATACTCAAACACTTGGAAGCTGAAAAGCATATTATTAAATATTGATCAGGTTACCAATGAGATCAAAGCAGAAATTAAAAAAATTCCTGGAAACTAATGACAATGAAAACACAACAATCCAAAACCTATGGGACACAATGAAAGTGGTCCTGAGAGGGAAGTTTATAGCTCTACAGGCCTATCTCAAAAAACAAGAAAAAATGGCAGTAAATCATCTAACTGTACATCTCAAAGAATTAGAAATAGAGCAACAAGAAAAGCCCAGAGTGAGCAGAAGGAAGGAGATAATAAAGATTAGAGCAGAAATAAAATTACATAGAGACCAAAAAAAAACACCCCAATACATAAAATCAATGAAACCAAGAGCTGTTTCTTTGAAAGGATAAATAAGATTGATGAACCTCTAGCTAGGCTCACCAAGAAGCAAAGAGAGAGGACCTAAATAAACAAAATCAGAAATGATAGAGGTGAAATAACAACAGACCCCACAGAAATACAAATGATTGTTAAAAAATACTATGGACAACTCTACTCCAACAAACTAGACAACCTGGAGGAAATGGGCATATTCCTAGAAAAATACAACATTCCAAAACTCAATCAGGAAGAATCTAAAAATCTCAACAGGCCAATAACTATGGAAGAAATTGAAGCAGTCATCAAAAAGCTTCCAGCAAACAAAAGCCCAGGACCAGACGGCTTCACAGGGGAGTTTTACCAAACATTCAAGGAAGAACTAAAACCTATCCTCCTCAGACTACTACAGAAAATTCAAGAGGAAGGAACACTTCCAAGCTCATTCTATGAAGCCAGCATCACCCTAATACCAAAACCAGGTAAAGACAACACAATGAAAGAGAATTACAGGCCAATATCCCTCATGAACATAGATGCCAAAATCCTCAACAAAATCTTAGCAAATCGGATCCAGCAGTACATCAGAAAGATCATACACCATGACCAAGTAGGATTTATCCCAGGGATGCAAGGATGGTACAATGTCCGCAAATCAATAAATGTTATACATCACATAAACAAATTGAAAGAAAAAAAAACACATAGTCATATCAATTGATGCAGAAAAAGCATTTGACAAAATCCAACACCCATTTTTGATAAAAACTCTCAGCAAGGTGGGAATAGAAGGATCATACCTCAATATAATAAAAGCCATATATGACAAACCCACAGCCAACATCATACTCAATGGAGAAAAACTAAAACCATTTCACCTAAGAACAGGAACAAGACAGGGATGCCCACTCTCACCACTCCTGTTCGACATAGTACTGGAAGTATTAGCCATTGCAATTAGACAAGAATAAGAAATATAAGGCATCCAAATTGGAAAAGAAGAAGTAAAACTGCCCTTATTTGCAGATGACATGATACTATACATAAAAAACCCTAAAGACTCCATCAAAAAACTATTAGACTTAATAAATGAATTTGGCAATGTAACAGGATACAAAATTAACCCCAAGAAATCTATGGCATTTCTATACACCAATAGTGAACTTATAGAAAGAGAGACTAAAAAAACAATCCCATTTACCATCGCACCAAAAAAATTAAGATATCTAGGAATAAACTTAACTAAAGAGGTAAAAGACCTATACTCAGAAAACTACAGGACGTTGAAAAAAGAGATAGAGGAAGACATAAACAGATGGAAGAACATACCATGTTCTTGGACTGGTAGAATCAACATCATTAAAATGTCCATACTACCCAAAGCAATCTATAAATTCAATGCACTTCCCATTAAAATACCAAAGGCATATTTCACAGACCTAGAACGAACTCTCTAAAAATTCATCTGGAATAAAAAAAGACCCTGAATAGCTGCAGCGATCCTGAGAAAGAACAAAGTAGGTGGGATCTCAATACCAGATATTAAGCTGTATTACAAAGCCACTGTTCTCAAAACTGCCTGGTACTGGCACAAGAACAGACATATAGATTAATGGAATAGAATAGAGAACCCAGAAATCAACCCGAACCAATATGCACAATTAATATTTGACAAAGGAGGCAAGAACATACAAGGGAGTCAAGACAGTCTCTTCAATAAATGGTGCTGGAAAATTTGGTCAGACACATGCAAAAAAATGAAACTAGACCACCAACTGACACCATACACAAAAATAAACTCAAAATGGATAAAGGACTTAAATGTATGACAGGAAACCATAAAAATACTAGAAGAATCCAAAGGCAAAAAATCTCAGACATATGCCGAAGCAATTTCTTCACCGATACAGATCCTAGAGCATTGGAAACTAAAGAGAAAATAAACAAATGGGACTACATCAAAATAAAAAGCACAGCAAAAGAAACCATCAACAAAACAAGAATGCCCACTGCACGGGAGAACATATTTGCCAATGTCATATCTGATAAGGGTTTAATCTCCAACATTTATAGGGAACTCATACAACTTAACAAAAGGAAGATAAGCAATCCAATCAAAAAATGGGAAAAGGACCTAAATAGACACCTTTCAAAAGAGGACATTCAGAAAGCCAAGGGACATAGGAAAACTTGCTCAAAGTCACTAATTGTCCGAGAAATGCAAATCAAAACAACAATGAGGTACCATCTCACACCTGTCAGAATGGCTATCATCAACAAATCAACAAAGGACAAGTACTGAAGAGGATGTGGAGAAAAAGGAACACTCGTGCACTGCTGGTGGGAATGCAGACTGGTGCAGCCACTATGGAAGACAGTATGGAGTTTCCTCAAAAAACTAAAAATGGATCTCCCATTTGACCCTGTGATCCCACTTCTAGGAATATATCCCAAGAAACAGAAACACCAATTAGCAAGGATATATGCACCCATATGTTCATAGCAGCACAATTCACCATAGCTATGATCTGGAAATAGCCTAAGTGCCCATCAGTAGATGAGTGGATTAAAAAACTGTGGTATATCTACACGATAGAATACTATGCTGCTGTAAAAAAGAAGGAATTCTTACCATTTGCAACGGCATGGATGGAACTGGAGAGCATTATGCTAAGTGAAATAAGCCAGTTAATGAAGGAAAAATACCACATGATCTCACTCATTTACGGATAATAAAGACCATTATAAACTTATGAACAAAAATAGATACAGAGGCAGAGCAGCCTCGAACAGACTGTCAAACTACAGTGGGAAGGCCGGGGAGGGTTGGGGGGCAGGACGGGGCGGGTAAAAGATCAACTGAAGGACTTGTATGCATGCATATAAGCATAACCAATGGACATAAGACACTGGGGGGTAGGAGAGGTCAGGGGATTGTCAAGGGCGGGAAAAAAAGGAGACATATGTAATACTCTTTGTAATAGTTTAAGCAATAAAACAATTAAAAAAAAAGAAGTACTAAATTTATCAATAAGCATTAAACTGATTAGCCTGTCAAACTCACATCACTATTACATATACTCATAAGTGTGTGAGTTATTGTAACAAACTGGACCCCTGAGAGAGGTACCAAAACGTAAGGCCAGGGTCAGTTCTCACCACTGACTCCCAGTGCCCAACTCTGCACCTAGCACATAAACATTTGTTGTATAAAAGGGTGGCCGCACAGACAAGTGCCAAAATGGAATGGAACGAGCTTTTTCTAATCACCCCAAAATAAATTTCCATTTGAATTAACAAAGAGCCTGTTTTGAAGGTTTAAATGGCTAATCTGCTGCATATGTTACGATCAGCAGTTTCACCCAAGTGGTCTTTTAAAGCTTCCTTCGTCTAGTGGCCTGTGACACTGGGAACATCTGTAAGAACAATCGAGCTGACGCAAATGTCACCCACACTCCTCACCTGCCATGTCGATGGCAAAAGGCCTGTCTGCTCTCCAGCCGGTGTACCAACCAACGACTTTGCCATTTTCCACCAACGGACGTTCATAGCGTCGCCCGCCAACCAGGCCCACTGGCCAGACAGAGACCTTGCGTGTGGTTCGCATCTATAAAAAGGGGAAAGAGATTTGGTTTAAGTTTCTTTAGGGAAAAGAAGTTGAAGGGAGTGAAAGAAGGTGAGGCAAGCAGAAGAAATGCGAAGGGGTGCGAGGATGTTGATTCCCAAAAGTTGAACGCTTCCAAACAGAACCCTCCTGCTGATGGATTTGCTACCCAATTACTCTTTGTCTACTCAGCACCAGCGACTGCGCTCTCTGTCATACACTAAGCCTCCGGCTCAGGCAGGATGGAGAGAACATCACTTATTGGAAGCCACATTGTGACTATCAAATGTTTCCTATTTGTTCCAAAGTTGGATCTTTTAAACAAGTGTATCTTTGGAAGTGAGGAGGTTTAGTTCCTCTTTAGGAAACTTTATTACTCAGTAACAGCAAACATTTGACTCAGAGGAGCCATAGGAATTGCCTTGCTCTGAATTTTTTATTGCTACAGACATAGAAATCTTGGCTGGCAACATTAATAATGGGAACCAGATACAGAACAGACACCAGGCATCCTCCTGGGAGACAAAAGAAAAACATACGTAAATTTGCCTGTCTTTCAACGGCAATGGGCCAAATTATAGAAGAAAAGGCAGCTGAAGTATCTGGTTCTCTCCTAATACACCCTGTTGTACCTAGCGGAGTTCTGGTTAAAGACAACCCTCAATTGAAAGTTATTTGTTGGGGATTCTTTAAAGGGAAAGACACACTCACAAGAAAGCTCGATGATACTAGGCAGCATTTTCTGGGGAAAAACACCACCATCTTCCTGGACAGGTGTTGAGCAGAGCCAGAGTCAGCCCACATGGCACCTTCGGCAAATTAGAAAAAGGTGCCGCTTTCTTGGGCAGACACACTCCTCACTGGGCCCATGGCTTACGGGCCCATCCATCAAAGTATCAGCTGGGTTCCAGCTCCACTCACCCTCTTACCTGGGTGAGGTAGTTCTGTTGTTAAGGTAATTATAATCTCAACACCAATACTTTACCTTTCATTTGCTATAGAACTGGGTCATGATCAGTAACCAATGGCTAAAATAATGATTATCAATCAAGGATTTTTTTTAATGAAAAAAAGGGAAAATTATGTATTTGGGAAAGATTTTCAAATACAATTCAAATGAAAAGTCAAATTATTAAAGATTAAAAATAATTAGATGCTCCCATTTGCCAAACATCTCAACTTGACTCTTTTATTAATATCCCACCTCATTCTAATGAGAGGACTTAAGGGCATGAAGTGCACCAAGTAATAAAGATCTCACTTTGTTGGTCTTCCCCAAATCTAAAATTACTACTTTTTAAGTCTACTCCTTTTTTAATAAATTAATCACTGTTGCCTTGTACTAGCTCATACTAACACATATGATGATTTTTTAGAAAGTTCTACTGAGGTATAATAATGGATACACTAACTGAAATGAAGAATATACTAATATACTACAAGGTATCAACAGTAGATGAAGCTGATAATCAAATCAGTGATATGGAATATAAGGAAGCAAAAAACTTCCAATCAGATGAGCAAAAAGAAAAAAGAATCCAGAAATATGAAGAGCCTCTGGGACAACTTCAAGCATACTAACATTTGTAACATGGGGGTGCTGGAAGGGGAAGAGAAAGCAAGAAGTTGAAAATCGATTTGAACAAGTAATGACAGAAAACTTGCCTAATCTGGTGAAGGAAATAGACAAGTCCAGGAAGTGCACAGAGTCCCAAACAAGATGAACCCAAAGAGGCCCACACCAAAACACATCATAATTAAAATGCCAAAGGTTAAAGAAAAAGAGAATCTTAAAAGCAGAAAGAGAAAAGCAGTTAGTTACCTACAAGGGACCTCCCATAAGACTGTCAGCATACATAGTTATTAGAATATTATTGACTATATTCCCTATGCTGTACTTCATATCCCCATGACAATTCTGTAACAACCAATTTTGTACTTCTTAAACCCTTCATCTTTTTTCACTCATCTCCCATTCCCCCTTTCCATCTGGAAACCATCAAAATGTTCTCTATATCTATGAATCTGTTTCTGTTCTGTTCTAATCACTGGAGGGCTACACCTGAAACTGATATTGTATGTCACTATAATTGAAAAATTAAAAATAATTTAAATAAAGAAAAACAACAAAAAGAAAGATCTACTGAAGTACAATTGACTGCAGAAAAGAATGAATAGTCCTGACACTGTTATCTTTAGAAAGGCCTGCATACCAGGCTGACCCTTGGCTGGCATCTGAAAACCTGGCTTGAAATAAACCCTACACTGATAAGGTTGTTTGCCTGCCTGGGGTACTAAGCACCTGCTTTCCTTTGGGGATCTGAAATACTGGTGACCAGACTCCAATAAAAACTCATGGGTTTCCCGGGGCATGAACACTATGTACCTGTGGTTACATCTTTGCTGGAGGGAAGGCGTGCTCTCTGTGAGCCCTCATGGGAGGGAGAGAATATGGAAGCCTGCACCTGGAGTCCTCCAGCCCTTCTGATGTCCTCCCCCGCCCCCTTCCAGCTATGCATCCTTAGTGTGTCACTGTAATAAATCTTAGCCACAAGTCCTCAAATAATGTCATTTTGTTCAACTTGGCTTGATTATAACTTTGATGAGATTCTGTAGGAACTTAACTCTTATTTATATTAACTAGCCTATGATAAACATGGTTTTGTTATACATAATTTTGCTTAGTCACAGAACCCATCAATGATGTTGAGAACTTACTGTACAACTAACTATATGCCGAGTGCTATGAGTCCTAGTAAGTCATTTAATATGGGTGGTCTTGGGGACCCCTGGAAGAATAAAATGCCTCCTGCACGCCCCTCCCACTGGATATTGAGCCTGCAACCTGGGCATGTGCCCTGACTGGGAGTCGAATCGTGACCTCTTGATTCATAGGTTGATGCTCAACCACTGAGCCACACCAGTGGGGCTAGATTATTATCTATTTTGAGCTAATCTGTATATACAGTATGAGAGGCTAACTGAAGTTCTTTTTGTTTTTTTGCATATGGAGATCCAATTGTTCCAACTGTATCTAATTGTCTGGGAATAACTGAGCTGCCTCTGCATCTTTGTAAAAAATCATATGTCATATGTGCGAGTTTGTTTCTGGACTTCTCTCATTGGTCTGTTTGGTGATTTTGATGCTAATATCACACTATTTTGATTTACTATGACTTTACAATTACTCTTAAAATCAGGTAGTGTTAGTCTTCCTACTCTGTTCTTCTTTAAGTTGCTTTGACTGCTCTAATCCTTTTCATTCCCATGTGAGCTTCACAGTTGGTTTGCCCATTTCAGCACATCAATTTGGTGAGAATTAATATCTCAGCAAACACTGAGTTAGAACACTGACGCTTCTAACCATGCATATGATATATCTCTCCATTTATTGAGATCTTTAATTTCTCTCAGAAATATTTTGAATCAAAAACAACACTTAATGCTTTTATGTTATAGCTCTTCTCCATAAGTGGGGAAACTCCCCCCCCAGAAAATTTACTAAAAATTTCACAAAAATACAGCTCTCTCCCAATACACTCCACCTTCAGACTCCTATTCGCTCCCATAGTGCAGAAAACAAAATCATTTCAATTTTTTGGGTCTTATATATCAAATATACCAAACATACTAAGAAACAAAGTTAAATCTAACACATAGGTTTTTCCTTAACAGAATGGCTTTATGGCACTAAAAAATAGCACTGTGCTCTTTTTTTATATTTTCTTAAAATGCCTATGATTTTTCAGTTCTCAAATTGCTTTTGCCTGGTTGCACTAAATTTTCAAATCTGTGAAAAACTGGTAAGCAGATCCCGTCTCAGACATGAGAATGTATCGGTTGTGCTCTGCATACAGCAGGTGCCAAAAAATTCTTGGTAAGTGTGTGAACACCAGGTAGTAACTGAAATGTGGGCCACATGTAACAAGCAATCAGAGCCTGTAAGGGACAGGCTCACAATCAAAGACAAGAACAGTTACTAAAACAGCAAAAGGCAAAGGTATTTTTAAAATAGCAAGAGAAATTACCATTAAAGACAATATAATAAACCATAACCGTGGGACCACTAGAAAGAAAACAAATATGGCCAAGCATGCCCTGACTGGGTAGCTCAGTTGTTTGGAGCATCAGCCTGTATACGCAAAGGTTGCGGGTTTGATTCCGGATCAGGGCACATACCTAGGTTTCAGGCTGGATCCCAGGTCATGTATGGGAGGCAACCAGTTGATGTTTCTCACATCAGTGTTCTCTCTCTCCCTTGCTCTGTCTTTAAAATCAATAAAAACATATCTTCAAGTGAGGATCCAAGAAAATATGGCCAGGCATCTTTTGTGGAAGGCTTTTTCATTTAAGTTAGGTCATGAAAGACACACGGGATTTTGCCCACAGACCACACAATGGCTTAGGGTTCTAGGTAATGAGATGAATCAAAGAAGCAAAACTTTACATTTCTGTGTCAGTCTCATGCTAGAAAGGATAGATTTTGCTCAGCACAAAATTTCTACGAAGATCTCAGAACTAACATTTGTTCACACTTTTTTCCCCCAGAGTGTCTGGTGTTAAAGGTGAAGTGATGACTATTTGAATGCAAGTGATGAGGCAGGATTCTGCTTCCAAGGATGCTAAGTAAAAAAGTTTGTCATTTAAAGAGTTTAAAACTTCAGAAAGAGCCAGCTGCCCTGGCCATGTGGGCACCGCTCTGAGATTCGGCGTGGATGCTTCATCGCAGACTCAGACACACAGCTCCCAGACACAGCCATGGTACTATATAGAGAGTGCCAGACACTCCACAGGAAAATAGCACAGCTATTTACAGAACGCCTTCATGTCACCCCCGGGATCTATCCTCTGTCGATGTCCTTTTCTCTGAATCTGTGCTCTTTAAGGATCCTTGGCAGCTATGTTCTCTTCTGAGAGGGGGGAAAAGATAACAAAGACTGTTCCTATTAAAAGTAAAACCCTTTCCTATAACTAAAATATTCTCAGCATTTAAAAGGGTTGCT